CTAGTCCTCAAAAACGTACATTTAGTTGTACATGTGAATTCGATCCATTACTCATGTTTGTTTTCAGTGTGACCAAACATAAGGTCGAGAAAAAAAGTGCATTTAACCCCCCAGCCCTCCCAGCCTTCCGAACTCCGAAAACTGCCCCGACCACCCTCGCCCTTGAGTCTGTTTAAAAATCATCCTGCCAGGAAATGAACCTTCAGTTTTCACTTGTGCATCTCAGGCTCGCGATTAAGCGTTCTGGTCAAGCGCGGAGTACAAAATGGCAAGCGTATGAAGGTAGACAGTGAAATCTATCCCCTTATGAGTTGTACCCATTCGCTGCCGTCCTTTTCACTGCCACCTCCTTTGATGGTCTGCCATAGTGCTCCAAATAAGCGGATGCAAGCGGAGTCAGGGATGATGAGATCCTTTGTTGACGGAACAAATGCCATTTGTGACGATAACTTTAGCTTTAATGTTAACCAAGTTGGGAAAGTGGGAAGATCGATATCTTAAGGTTCTTGTTGCTGTCTTGAACTAGATGGTGGAAAGGACTATCTACATAGTCCCAGGTACCCGAGCGGCTACGTGCATGACACGTAAAAGCTCCATTGTGACCTTCATTAGCCCCCTGCGGGAAAGCATCATCGGACCGGGCTAACTATACCGCCTAGGAAAAATGGACGAGCGGGCACACAGATAACAGATAAGAGCCTAGCAGTACCCTGTGGACCGAATAACCACCCTCGCGGAACACGTACACCACCAACAGCAGACAACTGTGATATTTGTGAAACCTGTACCTGTATTGAATGAGGCATTCGTAGGCAGCTCACATCACAGATGGACACACTGTCAGCGCGAGAGTGCAGCATCCTAACAATATCATTAGTTCGGGAAGATACAACTATATAAATAATCCTGATGCACATGCCCTGAATGCAGGAAGTTACCTGTGTTGCACACAAGCGACGGCAAAGTGTCGCTCCTGCTTTCGATCAGAAATCGTCGATCCCTCCTAACGTGGCAGGAAAGTTGCCACGCAGAAATCCGCGAGTATATTAGAATAGATTCCAGCCTGTCACTCCATCCCTAACAGCGCACCTAGCAACCACTGCCACTCGAATGTTCCCATCCGCCACCCGGCCTGAGTGCTAATCGCACCGTCCTCAGACAAACGGTTCCGACGGTCCATAACAAACTGCATCCAGGATATCTGGGACGTCATCATAACCACCGGACAAATGGAATGTGCTAAAATGACACTAGCAGCACGAAACAGGACAGGCAAGCCACTTGTTAAGTGTCGGTATGCTGACAGACCCACTACTAGGGAAGAGGGAGTAGCCAGGTAATCAGGCCTGCGCGAATTTCCTCCAAACCTGGGCCTTTTCCCCCTTCCGTATATCTCCGTCATCTTTCTAAGGGCAGCCAAACCCCTTGAGATGCCCCACGGCCCCGAAGATCTAGTCGTGACTTGTTGCGATGAGCTGACACGTGCCTGTAGCAAACCGCATAACCTGGGGCCTCTTAGTCGTAGAAGCTCTTCAACGGAGTCACGTGGCTCTGTAGCCTCTGGATCCTGGCTCTCAGGTTTTCCATGAACCGAACATACGTTGGAGACTGGTCTGCTAGGGATCTCAAGTGTTTTATCAACTGAGGCTATCAAGTCATCGGTCACAGTCGACCGAAGTGTCACCAACACGGCCCACACCGGTTGTGGCAATTTTAAGAGAAACAGCTCCCGGAAGGGGCAATTATCGGGCGCCCGTTGACCAATGACTTCTCGCATGCGTGCGAGGACGTCAGCAGCCAAGCTGTTCCCCACCTGAATGCTACGAAGAAATTCATCTGAGTGTTGGCAATCTATGAAGTCGCTTTCCCCAGAAGTGTTGCTTTCAGCAGCGCATAGGGATCGCGCATTTCAGGGCTAAGCATATGCTCTGTAACATGCTTATTTAATTCCCGTGATAATGAACGTATGACATCAAGAAATCTAGAATGCGGATCTGCGACCACCTGTTCTCCGAAGTCTGCTTCAGCATAAAGACACCCAGGTTCTGCGTAGTTTGACCAGTGTGACACGAGCTGGATAGCGTTCGTTGATGGCCTAACACGTATAATTTTTGGAGTATGGCCGCACGTGAAGCAGGGTTTAATATGGACACATAAAGGTTATAAACGTGTAAACCTAGATGCACAAGCGTAAAAAGGAGCGGGCTCACCAGTTCAGGAATTGTTCTCGTGTGAAATCGAGAGACGCAGAGACTAATCACCAATTGTTCACGCTCGCAATGTGCCAGCGAATGCGAGACCAAGGAAGAACACAATAGCGTAGTCAGGTGGGAATGGTATATTTGAGAGGCCATGCTGAAGTACTGATGCGTTGCGACTGGCCGGCTAGATGACTGATTACGAGCGGTGCAGCTTAATATGACGACGTGCCAAATGGTGTGGATGCTTGACCGTGTACCTTCAGCTTAGCGAGTCCAATAGAACAATGAAGGTAAGCATCGGTGTTGGATCCCGTCGAACCCTGGCTTATTGATTTTGGGGAATTGTGTGCCGCTACAAGGCCGTTATGTATTTCACATATGACATCAATAGTATTAGGAAGAGATAGGGATGTCGTGTTACAGTCTGTTTTTGAAATCTTGGGCCGACCGCTCAGGAGACAAGTGCTGAGCCATGAGGATCGCCACCGGTTTAACACCCTGGTCTTGGCAGCTTGTCTCAGACTGTGACGAATTAATGAGTGGAGATTAATGAATGGTGCTTGAGTTTCCTAAAAAGAGACTTAAGGAAAAGTGAATGGATGGTCCATTGTTTGTGCCCTTATTAAATGCATACTGCCTCCGTTAACCCGTTCCACTCACATTTCGCCCGAGGGAATATTAGGAGCACGGGACGAAGATAGAACATGTCCTTTAAACTTTTGTCTGAAACTTGAAGATCGCCAGTGAGTATTAGTCAGCCAAGGTAACCGAATCCGCCGTCTGGTGGCAGAGTCTGTAAATGCGACGAGACATCACATAACAGAAATTTAAATTGCGCGGTTGTCAGGTATGCATTTAACCAAATTAGCCTACGAAAACCGTTGTAGTTTGCATCAGGGCTGAATATTGTAGGAATACGTTTACCGATTTTGGGCTATTATCTCTCTACTCTGTTCCTGCAGGTTTGGAAGTCGAAGGTATCTAAGATCTTCAGCGGCAATGTTTTATGTCACCGAACGCTTATTTTTTTGAATGACGCTGTTTTTTCAGTCCACTAGCTGGTTTTAACCTTCAGTTTAGACGACTCGTTCCATTATTATTTATTTCATTTCATCTTTATGCTTATTTAGATACTGAAGCGATAAACTGTGAGATACTCTTCGGTGTATCTGAATGCTTATTATTTTCGTAGTTCTGCTTGCTCCGTCTGGGTTCTAAACGAGGGCTTGAGTTGCTTTCCTATATTAGTGGGACGATAATTTTCTCACAAATTATCATCACCTTTGTCTCCACACACTTGACCATTGGAATTAAAGAGTTTCTTTTTTCTATATATTCATGATACCTTACACAAACGGAGGACTGAAGAAGACCACAGTGTACTTCCCACTGGTTTCAATTCTGAATTATATCTAGTGTCCTCTGAGGCCACTGAGTGACATCATTTCTGAGAAATAGTCTAGGAAGTCTTTAGGCTGTAGTACATGATAACCCAACACAGCTATTCTTCATTCTGCAGCGCCGTTTCAAAAATGTCACCGTTTTTTCCTAAGCCAATCATGTATCTATTGGATGATATTGGTAGGACTTATGTCCCCAAGCATTGAAACCCTTGCTACGTTGTGGGTTAATTCAATGGATGATCATCGTCATGATGCCAAAACATTTGCTGCAGCACCTCAGGACTACTTATATGTTAAGTTTGTCAAGTTCAGACAGTTTTTTGCAGACAATGGTGATCGCAAAAGCGTCGTCGTCAAAATATCTTAAAGTCAGAAAGAACAGGTTTTATGGACTTTTAGTAGGGATGCCAATACCAACACGTTGTGCGCCAGACATTTTACAACCGGAATAACAGCACGGTTTTGCTACAGGCAATTCAGATTCATGTGTGTGACAATAGTTTTCGATGCATGCTGATAAATGCTACCGATCACATCTCCACCAGTACTAACACGTATTCTTACAGGTATTGGGGAAGCTAAGATGTGGGGCATTCAAGTACTTACTAGGAATGAACGCAAGCCGAACTATTTCAATTTAAGTAGCCTGTGAGCTGTTACACACTTAAAAGACACTATTCAAACACACAATTTCAAGAGGTCTCACACTCGTTAAGACGTTTCCTACAACAGCACCACACAAGTCTTTTAGAAGTATCTGGAGAAAATCGTCGACTTCAGAGTACAAGAGAAGTTGTGAAGCCGAGTAGCTTAAACTCAGGACAAAGAGGGATGGTCATGTGCTCATGCTGCATCCGAGATGGCTTCCGTTGAAGAAAACTCAAGAGTTCAACGAGGTTTTCATGAACAAAAATCATTAACATACGAACTAGAGTATACTTTGGCCGAACGAATGAAAGACTGCTTTATTAGCGGGCGAAAGGTTTGTGAGCCTGCTATAAGTGTGATGACTTTTAAGTATCTTTGCATGCAATCTGCAAGGTATATGAACTAGACAATAGCCAGTTCTATAAACTAATCAGTAGCAAACTGATACCTCATTTGCGAGCGGCTGTTCACTAAACGGTATGGTCATCTCTCGGTCATGAATCAGAAGTCACACTGGAGACAGTTGTATCCAAAGATTTTTTGTTAGAAGCGGTAGTAAAACTCCTAAGTGTTTGTAGTCCAGAACAATAATTCAGAAATCCCTGATATTCTTCACGCATAAAGTCTTCATTTACGCAACTACCAGTCAAAGAGGGGATTTATCCAGTTGATAAAAGGAAACCTAAACAAAGCTTGTTAAAAACCTAGTACCCACTCCGATTGTATTCACCTCAAGAAGTAAAACAGTAAAACAATAAAAAATTTATTTTCACAATTAGTTTATACAAGTGAGGAATAATTACGATATAAAGAATAATAAGATGAAAAAGGATAACTGAATATGGCATATTTTCATAATTTTATTATCTCGGTCATGTAAAATGGAGAATAAGGGGGGTCGTTGGAGAATCGACTGAGAGGAGAAAAAAAACGGTTTAATCAAAATACACAAATTTCGATGATATATTATATTAATTAAAATCCTCCATCTGGTTGACTATTCATAAATGCTTCTTGAATTTCTTTCACCATTTTAATTCGATTAAGTATTACCTGCAATTCAGGCGATCGAACAGGTTCATTTGAAAACCATAAATTTGTTCTTGGTGGATAAAGTGGATTCAAGTAAAAGATACTGTCGGAGTCGAGCAATTCCGGGGGACTGAAATGCGGAAAAGTGTAAGAAAACTATAGTAATAATGATAATAATAATAAAGTTACAGGAATATGGTACATCACAGTGCCATAAATGCATCCATGCCTAATTTTCTCTGTATCTTGAAAACCATGTCTTTATTTTTGCTCATTTATTCTTAATTTTTTATAAGAGCCGGTATCATTGTCGTCATTTTTACTGACTCCTACCTAGATTTGACAGTTTCAATTGTGTCTAGCAGTGTGACAAAGCAAGTCACTAGAATGATTTAATCAGTGTTGTTAAGGTTACCAATATAATTATGCTTCAAAGTTATAGTCTGAAATTCCACGCAAAGAAGAATGGTAACAGCAGATAACAAACGTTTACCTGAAAAATTACTGTATAGTAAATAGCCTTCATCTTAATCGAGTAGAAAAACTTTGATGCATGATTAGTAACGAAGTTAAAGAAAGAGTTATGTCATATTACTTTAACGTTACAAGCAAAAGGAATAGAAACTTGAGAAAACTGTAAGCAAACCGATTGAGGAATACAATAAAAAAGAAACTACTGAAAAATTCTTTTAGATGGAAGTTTGAAACCACATTCAACGTCATAAGCATTTAGATATCGTATGAGCTCTATGGTAAATGTAGCTCATCCCTAGAGCATTATCTCATGTTCACTTATTTTTTTTTGGGGGGGGGGGGCCTATGCCAGTGAGTGATTGAAATCAATCAACTTGTTTCTTACTCATACATGTTGAACAGCACATAGTTATCGACTATAGGATGACAAAGACTGTTTTCTTAGGCTTCTTCGCCTAACTGTCGTTATCACAAGGAATGCTTTTCGTAAAAATCAAGGAAAGCTGAAGACTATTCCTGAATACCGTGGTTCATCAAGGATATCAATATCGCCCTGCATGAAATCAGCTATCTGTCTAGAATTCACCTGCATCAGAATTTATATTGGTGTGTCGGTTAGGAATTTTATTCTGAAGAACTGTCATTGGTGAAAAATGCATGAAGTGCTTCAGGAAAACTAACAATAAAGTATTTCAAGTAACTGAATTCAGCCAAAGTATTTCTCTGACTGGCATAAAGTTTATCTTACAACTCATGTTGATCAGTACTACATTTCATTTACAACTTAAGTTGCAATCAGAAATTCAGCTTATAAAAAAAATGCAGGTGAGATGTTTAGTTTAATCAGTCAAAGACATATTTAGTGTTTAGCAGTTACACGTTATAAACTTACCAGTGGGAAAAGTAGGCCTTATACAGTAGGACAGGACATCGTTGTGGATGATGAGGATTTGCATCTAATCTCAAGGTAGTAACAGAATCATCCGGTTCTCCAAACATATGACCCGGCAGATGACAAAGGACAGCTGATTCAGTTATTTGGAATTGTGAGAATGCCAACTGTCGATGGATTGTACCAAGGCGCAAACCGATATGTTTAGTGTTATAATACAGCATTGTAAAAAGTAAAATCTGCAATAAAAATTAAACGAAATACAACTGAAAAGAACAGAATAGGGGGGCAACAAGTTCGAATCAAACAAATAGTGTATTATATATATATACGCATGTCCGTCAAATTGTGCGCGACTTTAAAGGCCACCCTAGCAACGCCTGTAATAACCAATCAGACTTCTTTATTTTATAAAAATCAGCCTTTCTAGCCAAAATGAAGGAACCTAATTGGTTGTTTCGATCGCTGCTAGAGTGGTCTTTAAAGTAGCCGCGAATTGCTGAACAACAACTGTTGTGCTTAAACAAAGGGTAGATAAAACTGATATGAAGCGCCATAATGTTTGGCACCTGCTAAGAAACTGGTCAACAAGATTATATTATTAATGCCTTTGAAGTTTGTTGGTCATATTCCTTCTAACCTCATCCACGTTCTACGAATTCATCTTTTACACACAGGGGAAACCATCAGAATCCACTTGAACAAGCCGAGTCTGTGTGTTTAGAAAAGATGAATTTGTACATCCTCTTTCTTTGCTTTGGCTATCTGTGTAACTTAACTCTACCAATAAACCCGATTACTCACTTCGGGAATTGTCAGGGACGCCTTCACATTCACTCAGATGACTCTTTCTCTCATGTATCTTCCAAACGATTACAATTAAATATTACCGTTATTTTACTACGATTACCGCAGTTTCAGCAATTTTTTTCTTTCCTTTTTCGGCGCCAAATTTTCTTACGCTTTGTCGACAGCTGACCTCATGAAATAATCATTTCTTCTTTTCTGTACAAGTCAAATTACGCAACAACCTGATCATAATTTCAATAACTTTACTGAGTAGTTAATTATTCTATGCCTAAGTTATCATCGCGTAATTACCTTGAATTAATATCGCGCCTTGATACTTTAAGATAAATTATCTATCATTGACCAGATGTCACCACCAGACCAGTATATTATTTCGTATTTGGAAAATGTTGTGTATTGGTATAGAGCTCCGAATAAGGAGCTAACAGAAAAGAGATATATTGCTTTTCTTAAAATAGTTTGTTTTCTAACTATCTTATTCGAAATTTTCACATTGCAAAAATGGTAGCGCTTTAATTTTTCTTTAAAAAGATTAATGCAGAGTAACAGGTAGAACACTGAGACCTACTTTCATTCTTCATATACTTTGTGGGACGTTAAAGACTCTTACATTTTCCTTTTCAGCTTACACTAATACTCTGCATAGTTGCATGAAAGATAACTAGCATGTCATGAAGAAAACATTGAGTCACACTTATGATATAGTAAATAGTAATGTTTTCAGTACACCGAGACCAAACTATATGGAGTAAATCTAAGCCAGTGAATCTTATAAGATAACGTTCTGATGTAATAAACGCCGATCGTTTGAATACATTCCAAATTTGAATTAATTTACGCTACTTATCTTTCTTGCATTACTAAGGGATTTGATTTTCTATTTATGCTTCAAACACGAAGTGGATACACAGCTAGAGACCCCATGGCGTGCAGCATTGGCATTCACGCTGTTAGAAAGCAGTAACATCGGGTCGTTTTTTGCCAAAATAAAACATGAGGCATTACAACCCTATTATGTGCACCACATAGACCTGGTAGCTGAAGATGAGTTACAACATTTTGTTGAGAAATATCTTACGGAAGCACCAAATTTTTCACTATCAATCAACCTACCTCAGCTGACTGGGAGCCTAACTGTTTTGCCTCCCACAAATGCTCTTCTTCTATACGGCAGATAAGGAGACCTTCTGGGCTTATACGAGGTTGAAAATTAGCCAATATTTCATTCAAAGCTCGAGATAGGCTAGTAAACGCCGGATCTCCGAACAGATTAACAATACGCCCATTTTCATTAAGATACTCTTGGATACCTTGAGAACAAAAGTATTCATAAAAATAAGAGATACTCAACTGATTATTACAGCGAAATAAAGTCGGAGTAGTCAAAATATTTGATAAATAGGTATTTTGTCGGAAATAGAATTTTTTTTAATAACGTGGTTGTCTGCCGAATACTGGCGACCTACTGACAACGCAGAACCTCGCACACAGGTGCATAGGCTCAAGTTACCACACTTCACAGTAGTACACAAAGAACACGTGGATAGACAAAGAGTGATATCAAAAAGACAAAGTATTGTGAGAGAACAAACAATCTGAGGATAAAGGTCAGTGAAGAGTATTCAAGTTTTAGAAGATATCAAGGAATAAATATATCTGCGCCATTGTGACCGACTTTCAGCCATATCACCGACAATTTTCAACCACTGATTCTTGTCGTTTCGGGGACCTCAGCCAGGTAGTCTACATCTCCCAATACGGCCCAGACCAACAGTAAGAGAATTCATCGACTGGAGCCAGGTCTTGGTCACCCTGAACCCTCTTCTAACTAATCCAGTTTCCCCTAGGCTTGCATGTCAAGGTAGGCGGTGGCTCGGCATGCTCAGTACATGGTCAAGCCATCACGAACTTATCAGTCGACTTACCTGTCACGCCTTGTACCCTTCGCCTGATCTCAGCATTATTCACATGGTGATTCCGCCACACGCAAGCAATGCTACAGACACCTATGATCAAACGCATGTAACCGTTTCATGCCTTCTACTTCTAACGGTCATGTCTCACATCCATACAAGAGGACAGAACGAACTGCAGCACAGTATACTCGTCGTCTGATAGATAGTCAGATATCTCATCAGCGCCACAGGTGACGCAAAGCGGCAAATGCCAAAAGGTCCTTCTGTATTCGAGCTGAGATTTCGTCAGCAACCAACCCGTCCGGGTTGATGCAACTTCCCAAGCAAGTGAAGTGGTCGACACATACTGAATATTAGGATATAGTTTTCAGGGGCGTAATATCATATACATATGTATTACATTTAATTCAATGGGGTTAGAAATAAATGTCAGTGGTAGACAGGGTTCATCTTCTGCTATATACGGCCATCCGTTACTTTTCCTTCCAAAAAGTGATAGTATCTAACACTGAGTAGCGAAAGCCTCTGTACAATTGAAAATAACTAGACTCTACCCAATACAAGGTTAATATGATTTGGCCATGAGCCACGCTCATTATAATAAGAACTCATAATACAACCCAGTTCCCCAGGATAAAGGTAGAATGGGGCTGACATCTGCGACCCATTTCTTTGAAGTTGAGGGCTCAAGCTAAAGAGCAGAGATCAGTGTTAAAAAATGAATGTATCCAGTAGGAAAGATTAGTAACTAGCTAAGAAATCTGACTTCGAAGTAATGGTTGATATGGAATTCAAGATCAGGAACATACGAGTGTAAAACTGCTTCGGTAACCCGTTACTGTGATAACGTAACTTTTAGGATGAATGCTTAAGAACTGGTGGCTTACGATAACTATTTACTTCAAGTTGAGTGCACGCCCAGTATATGATTGGATATACTTCAGTTGGTGCAAAATGACAATTCCACCAATTTCTTTACCATACACTAAAGGCTTTACAACTACTGAACCAACAGTTACTGGTTAGATTTTCATATCATTAATCTTAGGGTAAAACCAACAACAACAACCGCCATGTAATGAATGAACAAAAGGTGCTGTCGCATGTCAATACTTACCTAGGCATAAGTAGAAAATGGAATCAGCGACATAACATTCATTATTTGGTTTACGAACCTCACGAACAAATTGACTCAATGCAATGTTAAGATCTTCGTCACTCATATTTAATAAGTCAGCGTATAAATGTGAATACTGTTGCATTGAAGTAGTTCTAGATTTGTCAGTAGATGCAGACGCTGATTTTTGTTGAATCCAATGACGCCATGCATTGATCCCATATGAGAATTTCAAGTGGTAGTTGGCATCAGATGTAAGCACCGGTATTAGTGTTTGACGTGGTCGTTTAGGAGGACGATGAGATACATTATCGGTTTCCTCACTGCTAGAATGACTCATGGTTGGTTTCTGTCCTTGTTGGTGACATGGTGCGTTATTTTCTTTGGGTTGAGCAGTAGCTGACTCTGAAGTCCATGAGTCTGAAGATGAAGACTCTTCTGGAGCGGGACGTTTAAGGCTAGATACATTTTCCCTTCTGATATGATCTCGCTGTTCAAAGAAGTCCAATACAACACAACAGACGATGAGCAATATGAAATACGATAATACAATGACAATTTATCACAATATATCTAAAAAGTGTGTATTAATTGATATGAAAATTTAGAGAACGGTCGGTTAGTGGTTAGAAAGAAGTCACTATATCTACATGTGTTTTTCTTCAATTGAGAGTTTTCTAAATGAAACTCAGTCAATGTTATGACTGAATGGTGAAAACCGAAATTACCAAAGTTTTTGAAGATTACAACTGTGATACTGAGATTTTTCAACCATTTACAAAGTGACACAGGATACAGTGATGCTGTAATTTGTGTGATACTCTACTGGAGATAGACAAGCAGAAAACATTTTCTTAAATTCTTCACTAAAGATGATCCACACAAAAAGTTGTGGAATGGCTCCATGGATGGTATTTTAAAGTTTAAGACAAAATATTCATTCCCAAAGGATAGAAAATAATTCGATATTACAAAAAAAAAGGTCAAATAGCCACCGATTTTTGTACTGACTACTGCTAGTATATAATTAAACGTTGAAGTGTTGGATTTAGGAATAATTGAATGAATAGACTTTTAAAAGGGTATGATAGGAAGCAGGGAAAATAATGATTGACTATGAGTGTGACATCCATGCCTGTTCTACATTGTAATTTGGTTTCTGATGAAAATCGAAAAAAATTGTTCAGTAATGATTTTCAATGAGTTAGGAAGTTGAATGCATAGAAAATGGGAAAAACTATTATCACTCTTAGTTCAAAGAGAAGTGGCCTTATTGGTTACAGCACTCAGCTTCAAAACAATTGGTTCGGGGTTCAAAAACTGCTTCATCTACTTCAGCATGGACAAGCAAGTGGTATCCTCACTTAATAAGTGTGACTCATAAATCTGTACCAGCAGGTTTAGATGCAGATCAACGTGAAATGACAAAACTTGGATAGAAATGTAAAAAATCGTCTTCGCAACTAAGGATATGACACAACAGTGCAGCAACGCGATTACTAGGTTTATAATACGATCACATCAAATCATACCAAGTGTATGTGAAGCGGAACACACCTGTTTGATCAATTATTTTATATTCACAGACTCCTTGTCAAAAGTTGCGGTCTATGTCAATACAGCGAATGCTATCGAAGTGGTGATCATGATAGTAAAACGAGATAGACGAAAATATAGCCTCTGAGGACATAATGCTAACTACTCAAGAAAACATCAGCCAATCCAACAGTTTCAACACTTATATAATGGATAGTCCCTACGTTTTCAATACTCCCAATATGGTAACAATGTTAGGCGACCTGACAGCATACGAAAATGTTATAGCTGCAAGATTGACAAGAATACTGGCATTTTACCGGTGTGTTTTAATCCACAAACTGAGAAAGGAAATTCTATTACGAACTTTATGTTAGGTACTGAGTTAGAATACCAAAGACACTATATTTTGAAATGGCAAAAAACAAAAGCAAATAATATCCATAAGCCTTTCATAGTTAAGATAATTGTGAATGAAATCACATGGGTTTCACACGTTATGTGGTCCCAGGAATATCGGTCACTTGCTTGTGAGTTAGTGTTACTGTATGCACAGGCATACCACAATGATAAACTGTTAATGCCTGAATAAGTGAATCGGAACCCTAGTCTGTTAGAGTGAATACACTGACGGTAGAGAACTTCCTTTTTGTGAATGATTGATTTCATTGATGAGTATACAGCTTCCTAATAGCGAGCACACATGTATATGTACCAGTCTTTGTTTGAGAAGATAATAATCCCATCAGACGGAATTCGATTTAAATTCATGGCCTATTGAATAATTTCAGCGTGAACCATTTCCGATTGAATGCATTATACTAAGATCGCTACCATTTCACAATGAGATGGGTGTATAGTTTTTAGCTAGTAAATATAGTTTCGTAACAAATTTGGTCATAAAAAAGACTAACCTCTTCAGCAACCTCAGTATCCCCTTCATCAGTTGACATTGTCAATGCACTTGGATAATATGTCGACTGATCAGGTTCTGAATCTTCACTATGAACGTTTGCTTGGCTATCACTTGTTGGTGAATCATGGGTAACTAGTTTTGTCGAAGACTCGATAAGTGTCCTTTGAGGCATTAGATCAACTTGTTGTCCATGATCTGAAGTAATTCAGCAACAAACATGGAAGTAATGAAAAGGTGACACCAAAATGTGCAGAATAAAAAAGGTTATCGTGTAGAATTCTCAGTTAATTTTTTACGATAGTTAGAGGTTACCTAATAGTTTTGAAGATGGTTGAAACAGTTTCTCATTGGTCTACGAAGTTGGTCATCCACCAGCGAGGGTCACGAGTCTGAATATCACTCTACCTACCAAAGTTCAAGTAGACTAAATTTGACTCATTCCACTGTACAAAAACCTGCACTAGGCTGCTGAATTAAATTTCTTTTCTCTGAATAGGAATACTCGTCACTTAGTGGATTCATCCGTATACCATCAATGCTTTGAATAACACTATACACAAGAATAGCTGTAAACTTTTTCTGTTGTGTATCTCCATTGTTCACTTCTCATGACCTGAGAGTAGGATAGAACAAACTACTACGCGGTAACCATCTTGGTAAACACTTAGATACACAACGGCTACCGACTAGATGTAGTGTGAGATTTAAATGTTAGTGTGGATTTCCCTAGCTATGAAACGATTGCATCAGGTGCGAAAAAGTTGAATCAGATCTTTGGATAGCTATTCAGCTTTCATATTCCCAATTCCTCACCTAACAGATTCAACGGCTATAAGGTCCTACAGATACATAAAATAAACGTCTGAGGGTTAGTGTAATCTACAAATGAACTCAGTCCACTCACGACTAATTCTTTTGAAATAGTCACACGGTTGGTAATTTCCGAACCGTTATTCAATACACTTGATATGACATATCATAATAGTTAACTAGATTGTATAGAGTGGTGAGATACATTCAAAGTCTTGCTAGACCCAACTTTTAAATATCGTAGTTTTCACATGAAAAACATACGCACATCAGGTGAGTGAAAAAATCCTAGGGTCATAGTTATAGTGCGGTTAACCTATCTTCCTGTAAAGCAACGTACACTGACTGTACACAGAGTCAAGTCCGTAAGTATACTTTGGAACATTGTCCAGTTTGGTTATCCACAGGAGAGAGACAAAGTACCAACAGTTTTATGCATGAATTGCCTTGTCACCTCCGGACATCTGCCCCCTCCACTAGTAGTTCCTTCAAAGTAATTTACAGAATGCCGTCTTACAATTCAAAATGGTTTCAACTGGGTCATATATGCACAGTTGAAACATTGGAAATTCAAAAACCTGATCTTCCTGTTTAAAAAATCACGTGCATTCAATAGTCTTACCATGGCCAAAGTAATAATTTGTTCTATTTGGCTAATGTAATTAGAAGACGTAGATTATCTGAAAAATGTGATGTATTATGTCATATGTATCCTTCCCCCACTTCCAGTTCTCACATATAATGGCCTTAACAAGTAAATGTGTGGTCAGATTGTTTGAAATGTATAGCGCTAATACATCACATTTTTCAGATAATCTACGTCTTCTAATTACATTATCCAAATTCATAAAAGGGACTAACTGTTTCAAATTTGTTCTATGTCTTCAAAAACTTATTCTTCTCTAGGATACTGTAGTAATCGCGTGTCCTTATTGACTAACCATACAACGTTATTTGTTTCCGATGATGCGAAAAACGATTCTACAGCTTTGCATATGAAATTGACGTAAACAAAATTCTTTTCATTGTTACGTTTTTAACTTATTATCCATTATGGAAATTTCCTGTTCTTTAATACTTTAGAATTAAAAGTCACAAGAAAAAAAATCAAAAGATTACATAACACATTATTCTACAAGAGTTCAAACGGTCAGTGGATGAAGAAAATCACCAATTACACTTAGAATATGATAAGAATTTAGGCGATGGAAAAGGTAACGCTAACTCATAAGTGTCACAGTATATAAATGAATAGACTGAAATCGGCATTGAGAATTTTCTTAACGATCACAACATAATATTGAATCAGTATACAGAGAGATATTCTCTAACCAATGAAAAATCCCTATATTAGGTAGCAGAACAAAGACGTAACAACCTTTCAGAGATTTCAGTTACTAGAGCTGTACAATAGTCGTATGTCAGTATTGGAAACAAATAACGGTATGCATATAGGACTAGACAGCATGAAGTTGATTACCCTCAGGTGACTAGTCAGTGTATCTAATCCGGTTCTACAGGAGGTTAGTTGCGACCTGAATAGCTCAACGGTAACGTTGCTGACTACAACACTGAGTGACGCGGATTCGAATGTCAGGTGGGACATCAGTCCCGTCGCGGTTGTAGACACATCTTGCTGACGAGTGCCAACAAACATGAAGCCTAGATCCAGGGCTTCTTGCCGATTGCCTCCATCCAACTAACATCTATCAAAGTGCAATGCGATGCTGAACTGCCTAGTCAGGTGGTTACATTGCAGGGTGATCGAAAGAATTCGGTGTGCACACAGGACTAGACAATATGGAGTTGGTTGTCCTCCGGTGACCAATCAATGCAACAGTTTATTATCAATCAACAGGGCCATGTGATTACTACAATGCTCAAAAGTCGGAGGAAAAAATCGAGATCCATCCAGCAACCTTGTACAATGAGCTACACCTGTTGTATGAAGGCTAATGATACTATCTGGCTACCAAAACCTCAATCGGTCAAAACTTCACAAAAGTCGAATAAAAAGTTATTTCCAAAGACAGGAGAAAGTCACTACTCTTACCACGGTAAAGTTAGTGCGTGCTAGTAGTGAGACACTTTGTAAATTACGGTAAAGGAACTACTGGAAATTATGAAACCCTCACGAATAGAATTTTTGGTATCCCTTCTCTCTCATCTGAATCACAAAGCTGCACAGTATTCCGAAATACAATACTTTAGGGACTTCACGTTGCGTACGACCAATGTGAGAAGAGGTATTCTTGACAAAATCCCCACTAACAGACTGCGACGATCCAGGATACTGAGTACTACAATACTCAATCTCGAAGTGATCTATGATTGACTTCTGTTTGATGATTAACTTCTATGTTTTGGATTCAGTGTTATGCTGTAATCGTTAAGAACATTCTCAATGCCGATTTCAGTTTATTTATTTATCTATATACTGTGATATTCACGAGTTAGCGTTACCTTTTCGATCGCCTAGATTCTTATAATGTTTCAAGCGCAACTAATGATTTTCCAGACCAGTTAATCCCTTTATCCATCGACTGTTTGAACTCTTGTAAAATAATGTGTTAATGTAATTCTTTCAACACTTTTATAATTTTTAATTGTGAAATATTAGTTGACAGTACTACGACTATTACTCCCAGATTTTCTTGCTCACGTGATGTGCATAGATTTTTCTATTTGAAAATTATGGTATTTAAAATATGTGACGTGAAATTTTAACGAATAAAAACATATGTATTTGCTTAAATCTGCACTTTAATTCCAAGTAAACAGCTCCGCAAAGCTGCAGGTGTTTGACCACCCTTGCCTTCGTATTCTGTGGTGTCACCATGTGAATAACGCAGAAGTCAGGCGTAGAGTTTCAAGGGAGGAGAGATTGTGATGCGGTTGTGAACCTTCATCAGCTGAGATGGCTGCAACATGTATTAAGTATGCCTAGCCAACATCTGCTTCGTCGCACAATGTTGGCCGAAGAAGGGTCAGGTTGGAATAAGACTCGGGGCGTTTAGACTAAAACATGGCATCAATGCATGAAATCCTTGACTGTTGGTTTAAGCCATGTGACGCGGGACAAGAAAAATCAATGGTTGGAGACTCTAGGAAATATGGCTCAGAACCAGTGTCAGTGGCGCAGACACACATTATCCTCATCTTAGTCGCTATACTTAGTCTCATCATTTTTTTATTCTCTTTTCCTCTCTTTTAGTACTTCCTACTTCTTTTGGCCGATCTTTCTTTCTTTTTTCCATCTTCCATTTTATTGCCTTGTTGCTTGATGTGCTGACATGAGGTAAGGCAAATTGGATTGTTACGCACTAATGTCTGGTAGTATGTTGATTTTGATGATGATGATGATGAAACAGTTCCGGGTTAAAAGCCTGCCCGATCTACTTCGATTTCAGCAAACGGGTAGTATCATAAATCTTTACATAAAAGATTTGGCTTATAGTTTGGGAAATAAAAATTGTACGTGACCTAGTTACATATATAATCCTGATGTACTATTATGAAGCCAATAAACTGTTACCGATGGATGTGCAGCTGTCTATTTGCCTAGTATGACATTTAAACAAACTGGTAGTACAGTTAGTTCCAACCATATATACTTATCAAAATTATGATGCTTCATCGTTCAACTTCAAGAAAGAAAGTTACTTAATGATATAAACAACTAAAGATGTGACGTCTTCTGCAAAGCAGTATCATAAGTCGTTACAAAACACCAATGGTAAATGCTTAAAAAAGCATAATTAATAGTATTTCACGCCACAAGATACACTTGGTGAGTGAGTAAATACCAATAGAGGCAAACAGAATTTGTCTTAATTCATTGACAATCGGAGGGTTGCGTACCAAACGGTACTACAATGTAAGTAAGTATAAGTAGTTTAACTACTTCTATTCAAGAAAAAGACGATGATTTTCTATGTTGTGTCTTCCTTCAAGGCCGTAACTACGACTGATCTGTATCCATTTTCGTGTAAGTAACGTATTGTCATTTAGCTAAACGCGTTCACCGTGACTTGGTTATACCAATTACATATCAGTATTGACGAGAGATTCTATTATCGTTTACTAGACCATCATATTCAACCAGATAAAGTGGTTATCATGTGCTACGTAATACAAGTAAATGGCCTGATCCCTTTTATTGAATTCGTTTAAGGTAGTAAATGCAAAGAGCTGTTAAATGGTATTACCTTCAACACATGGAGCCTCTGGAGTCGCATCGAAAACAAGTGGAATTGGAACCGGGCATGGTAGTGGATAAGGGATTGCATATGGTACTGGTCTTGCATACAGACACACAGGAAACGGTACATAGATTGGGACAGGAACAGGTATGGGTAAAAAGAGTGGAATTTTCTTCGATTCATCCTCATCAATAGGATCTAAAATGTTATAGATAATTCAAATAAGCACAATTTAGTTCTGCTCAGTAGTATTATTCACTAGTATAACACAATACAAAGCAAAATCAAGCATAAAATGACCTGCTTCAATTAGAACCAGATACGTAGCGAAGTCTAGTTTTTCTAGTAAAGATGAAGATTGCTCAGTTAAACATTTCAACATATAGCAAAAAGTAGATGACTAGACGGAACGTCACTGTGGAAAATGTGAAGTATTAAAATGTGATAGTATTTCAACGAAATCTCGATTTGTACTCAAATACATATTACAAATGGTGCGATTATTATTATTACCATCACACAGGAACGTTATTATAGAACTCAGTAACTATCCGCATATTTCCTTGTATCTGAACTGAGGGTAACATCTATTGTAAGCGTGAACAATACTATTCGACTTATAAACTTTTGGTTGACAAGGTGCATTCCAAACCCACGGACAAATAGTTGAATACCATCAAATTGCATTTAGTAGGATACATAACTAAAAAATGACTAACACTTTGACTGTATCCTACACTTCAAAAATACTACTAGTATTCAAAATAACCAACGTATATATTTACCGTGTCTTTCCCATCTGAAACCAACTACAAACAAAGAGTTGTATCCTCATCAGGTTAAAGTTACTTGATCTTAGACTGATGAGTCGATTACACAGTGTTAAAGGGAAACAGAGATTGATCTACTTCAATTAATTGGCAAATCGGTGTATATGAGTAGATATTTGATTCATTTCATCTCTTAATACAGCATACAAAAGCCTCTCATAAAATCAAGCCACTCTCCTACAGGTTAGCTACGACTACAAAAGACAACATATCACTTTCAAATAGAGGAATAATTCAGAACTCGTACAAACACAAGCAGCTGCAATCAATAAAAACTTGGCATACATCCGAACTAGATTCTATAACGGTCGAAACTGTAATAAGAGGCGAAACTAAGATCGAAGGCAAGACTCAATCATATTAGCAATGATTTACAAACGCCTCGCCTAGTATGACATTCAGTGTTCAACGCTACGCCAGATAGAAAACTGCAGAACTTCTTAATCTGCTGCTAATAGCATGCACCATAGTTAGCTGATTAACATACTGTGCCAACTCTGAATTCTCACCGACCACTTTCTTGTTGGTCACTTCCGAGTAAAGAACAGAACTAAGACAACTCAAGCAAAGAATTGAAAAATGTGAAACAAAAACGTTTGCTTTCTGAATGACAACTTTCCCCAATTTTAGCTTAGCATCCAAACCAAGTCATAATGCTTGATGACTGTTAATAGTGTCAACTGAAACACGCTTACTAAATGTTGAAGATTAATCTTCCATATCGGTTGGTAGGATGGGCCATTCGAACTCCTATAAATTATTTCCAAACACAATTCCCCCCCCCTTTTTTTACATCAAATTATTGATTAATCTATAAGGTATCCTAGTTCTAAGGTGTTTCCCTTGTTTCCAGTCAACAGAAGAGTTTGTCAAAACTATTTACCTGTTTGAATTTCAGAATCCACAAAAACTATGTCGTCAGCAGTTGATGTTTCAACACAACTATGACTTGGTCGACTATCAGATTTGATCAACAGTTGATCATCTTCAGCTTCAGCCACCGGCACCATATCTTCATCGTCATCATCGTCACTGTCATCCGATTTCATTAAATTATCAACAGTCTGAGTTTGAATTTCTTTGCAAGAGGATGACCTATTATTGTTTAATCCTATTGTAACTGGAAGTTTATCTGTTTGCATAGCTACAGTGCGTTGTGACAAATTTTCGTGTGGTGTTGTTGCATTCGCTTGAGTTTTACGACACATAGAAAGAGGTCGACATAGCACGGCTTTATTGCGCATAGCGACTGGGGCAGCTGGCTGTAAAATGACTTGTTGTTCAATACCCAGTTGACGAACCATATCGATTGGAACGACGGGAAACTGTCCCTACATGAAATGAGAGAAAACATTTATAGTCAGCTCAGTAAGAAAACGTAAGCGATCAAATAATATTTATTGACAATAAACTCACTCTTAAAGGTCTTCGACCTCTTGGTCGACCTCGACCACTAGTGCCTGCAATAGCAGCAGACAAACGAAATCCGGAGTCCCGATCCATACCCATCCCACCCACGCCGGCTGAAACCATATTTCCTGATGCTGTAGCCGGATTTATCATTGTAGCTCCTGAACCAGTTATTCCTTGGTTTATTCCGGACATTGAACCTCCTGTCGTGCCAAATACAGTTGCAGAGGACGGTGTATAACGAGTACCTAGAGACAGCAGACCCGAGGCTGAGGGTGTCAACACAGTGGATTGAAGCCCACCTAGTCCCCCTGACTGCCCAACAGAAGTACCTGGGTTTACAGGCTTCCGACTACAATGTACAAAAAAGTCAGTAAAATGAGGGCAAATATACAGCTAATTTGTAGAAAGTTAATTGAACATTCAAGTTAATCTCAAGGTAATTTACACCAGTAGTCCGTCAGTCACATACCCATTGGAAGGTACCCGGTATTGTACAGTTGTTTCATACCATTCTAAGACTACTTATCACTATAATCACATAATACGATGACATACTTATCCAGTAACCACCATAAAAAAAAATACAATCTGGTTCATGTGTAGCTTGTAAAACTAGTATGCAACATTTGGAGTGAGCCGCAGCATTTCCATTCACTATCTGAGCTATAGTAGTTCAGCAAGTAACTCTTCTGATTAATGAGTGACCACTAATAAAATTATGTGGGGACTCGTGGATGTAGTTTTAAATACAACTGCAAATGCATCCTAGGGAGACTATTGGCGACGCTTTCATTCAGTTGCAGTATTGTTGGTCAATTTGTTCCAAAAAACATGACAAACTTCAGTAGTTTATGTAGATCACTACTGAAGAGAGATTGTATTGGACACTTGTGATATCATCTCGATTTTGAAAGACGTAATTGGGCCTACTAACAGACGCAAAAAGTAGTATGACGGTATAATCCATCAAAAAATGTTTCGAAGAAAGTTACGATTTTATCCTGTAATTTAACTTATTAGAGAACATTTCATTTAACAGTTAGGAAATATTATTCACGATAACTCCGTAGATATGAAGATAGGCCTATCAAAGTAGTATTTTTACCGCGTGTAACTGAGGCATAAGACTGACTCAGGATTATGGAACGACCAAGTCCACTTCCTATCCTACGAACATATGAATCCGACAATAAAAAACATTTCTTGTTGAAAAGCAATTGGAGATAAAATGAATTCAAATAAAAATGAAAAAGTAATTTTCAACATTAACTGATATCAGTGAAAGAACCATTTAAAATCTGGGAGCAATGGGCAGTTGTTTTTAAGTAGTTTAGGAACCCTCAGCAGTGCGAACCCGTTACCTAGTGAGGGATTGAGGACAGGACCATCGAGTCCCATGGTGGGTACGTTAGCATTCAGACACTAGTTCAGATCCCAAGGATCCCAGTTTCCCCTACTTCTGTCAATTCACAATGCAGCGCAACCATCATTCAGTAACACTAGGGAGTATCTGTCCTTACACCTGATTTGACTGACACAAGAGATCACGGGAAATTCATCTCAAAGCAAGTCGCTAATAAGCACTGGATAGGAATTCAATTGGTGATTTGTGGGGGATTGGTTGATTTCCTTAATGGTTCTTCACGTAAATTAAAACAGTGATGAAAACTGTCCTGATATCAATCAGTCCCCATAAACTAATAATTGAAAAATTCTCAAAAATCCTTGAAAACTCTAACCTGGTGATACTGCGTGATCCGCGATTTGCATTGAGGGAAACCCAGCGAGCATCATTATTTCCTGCCGTAAATCCTCCACGACTAACATTTGTCTGCAAAAATAAATCAAGAGAATAGGTTCATAAACAATAACGATCTTCTTATTATGTTGTGGCATTGACTGATTATACTTCAGGATACTTTAAGAAAAAGCATTCGCTATAAGGGAACTGTGCCCATTTAGGATGAATATGGTCTGCAAACGGTAAAGACATTTAAAGTTTTAAAAAGCCAGGAGCCACACCTGAGTTAGAACCAATGACGTTTTAGTAGTTGATGACATTTAGCTTGCCCTGTTATTGCTGGTTCTGTCAGCCATAGTTACACAAGTCTAACTTGTTAATCCCTTTCTACCTCTTCACCGATTTTTGAAGGAAACAGGCGTTGGTGGTTAGCCATCTACAGTATGTTAACCGATGAATGTCCTTTATTGATTAAAAGAAACTTAAAGTTCGACCAGAGTAATCGTGTTTCGTAGCACTTACTAGCATGGTATTGGACAGGCAATCTGAGCAAGTTTGTATGAAGTCATTTTTGATTGAAGTTACCTGTGAATTTTGAGCATAATCTTTGTACAAAATAAAGATGCATCTTGTTTCATCTAATACTACAGGACACAAGATACTATCACAAAAGGGATGGAGAACTAAGTAACGAGGAAACTAGGCATCGTCAACTCCGAAAAAGACGAAGAAAACTATACAGGTAACAGTTTAACCAGAAGCTAGACATATTTTACAGCTATATTCCCCAAACATTTATATGCAAATACCAAAGTAACATACTATACTACTTGAGTGGAAAGAGATGAACGGAAGGAGAATAAATAAATAAATAAATAAATGAACTTTATATTTCTTTTGACTGAATTTTCTTCGCTACATCTTCCGCTTCACTGCCTTTTTACTTGATGTACTGATATGAGCTGTGGCGAATCGGACCGTTAGGCAGTAATGCCTGGTCTTATGTTGATTTGGATGAATGATGGAAATAAATAAATAATGATCAATGAGATTTCCAACAGTTTCTGCCATTCTGCTATTGGCCTAATTTAGTGTAATGACATGATAAAAGCATTAGAATAGCGATGTTCAACAGACCATGGATAACTATTGTATTCACAAAGTGAACTATGTGCAGACATTAATGATTCAATATTCACCTGGTTAGACACGATTTTCAACAAGTAGATCATGGGACCTGCATCCAAATTTGAAAAACCGGAGAGAATTTTTAGCCCTTACGCATCAGTGGATCACAACCTAATACAGTAAAATACGTAACTCAGAAACCATGTGTATGTTCGTACACTAAGCAACGAACCAAAGCAACTGGACAAGGGTTATTGTTATTGAGTGGCTGCCCAAATTTCGGTAGGTGGGGGTAGGGTTTGAACCCCTAGTTCATTATCTGAAAGTTAAGTGTGTTTATACCAGAGTGATATTCGGCATATAAAATCTTATAATTGACAAGTAGCACCTCATAAACTAGGCCATGAATGTATTTGATGGGCTTATGGCACTACTTCATAATCAATGGAATCCGATGAGGTCAAAGTCGAACACTCAATTTGTTCGGTTAGTGTACGTGGAATTATAAAAACTTCAGATACACATAGAGAAATCTATATGAACTAGACAACTATGTTCGTCGACCCTAATTACACCAAGTGTCATCCCATACACAAACGCCCAAAACAACAACTGTGGATGTACTGTAGACAACTGATATAACTGCTGAGTAAAAATTACCTCTTCAAAAACACAAGTCACTAAATGAGTAACAATGTACATCATCCTGAGTTTCTTTCTAACCCACTTGCAATCGGTCCAAAACTAAACGTGGTGACGATCGGCATATCAAAGTACAGTAAGTAACTCAACCACTTTGGTCACTGTAGGTTCAAAGCGGCGATAACTGATTTACGTTTCTCACTCACACATCTATAGTCTACACTTCGTGCGGTAGTTTCAATAGGTATGGATCTGGCTCACTGACTTCAGCACTTGGCTTTCGACCAAAAGGTCCCGGGTTCAAAACTTACTCCACACATTTTGTCTTGAACAACCGGATATTGTTATAAGTCCTCACACAATAATAAGGGTGGCTCATAGCCTAAAACATGACACCTGTATGGGGTTGGATTGCATCATTTTATTTTTTTGATAGGTGATGGGCTCCTTATGTGACGACTACTGGGGCTACTTAGCTATCCATACCTTACTAGATAGGGCTACTTGATACACATTTTCTTCTCTCAAGCTTGTGTGCATGGCTAAAACGAACTTCCAAAATATATAACCTAGAGCTTTTATTTCATTCGGGTTGTTTGCATACCGAAAAATTAACGGTTTTGTTACTGTAATCCCATGTCGCCACTTACAATTTAAACATGTGATAACTTGTTCAGGTTCCATTCTCGGAAGAAGCGATTTCCAGGAAATTGTGAAACGTCTGAAATTTATCCTTCTACCTCACTAGGATTTTATAAAATATGTCATTTATAATCCTCATAGGTTATTAGACCTGATTTCTGTGACCGAGATGATTAGAATAAAAAAACTCATTGTTTAAAAAAAGCATTGTATCCTATTATGTTAAGTGAACTACTTTAATTAAAAAGGATCAAAGAATGGCTAAATACTTGGAGTTTATAACATGAATATAAAATTAATTGGATATTTGAATGAACCTACTTTATAGCCAGTATGCTGGTTTAAGTGTTGGGCTAATTCAGGCTTCAGTAAACTTTTGCCACCTTGGATACTGCTCAGTTGAATTTGACCACCACTTGCATCTTGAATGACGTATGCACCTGCTTGGTCTATCGGTAACTCAACCAGTTGTCCCATACTGGGATCTATGGCAGGTATGCTGGTACTATAAAAATGTTATGAAAATATATCGCTTAGTTTTGTGGACAGTATACCAAAATTGTACTTTGTCGAAGTTATTTTTACGGCAACATGAAAAGTCAACGACTATGAATAGTGTTAAGTTACGGACTGGTCGGAACTTAATAACACTTAGGAAAGAAACATTATCAGCACTAGCGATACGCTGAACAAAAAATAAAATTTATTCAAGATTTTAGTTGTGAACTCGTTAAGATTACGTTTTTAGCAATGTTTAATACTGGTGCTTTTAAATAAAATTTTGCCAGAACGATCTAGCAAATAATTTTTAATCTCTAACTAAGCCTTTTTAAAGGTGGAAGTAGAAATTAGTTTTGTTCACTCAACTAGCAATGTGCACGTTTGTCAGGGTATGAAGTACAAAAATGACTTTTGGTACAGATCATTGTGAAGATAACCATTTCATGACAATCCTAAATTCGTCAGTAGTAGAATACTATGAGTGAACCTATAATTCAAGTCGAATAACATTCGATGGTGCGCAACTATATGATGTGTTATATTGAAGCTCCCAGCTACTGTTCGCCATTCCTATCACAACTCTTGAAGCTGGAAAACAACACGAAACATTTGCGAAAATCACAACTAGATGCTTTCAAAATACCAGGATTCATGCAAATACAATACAAGTCTACGCTGTTTAACTAGACTTTAGGTTCATAAGTCCATTACCAAGTTATCAATGTAAATAGTCGGCTATGTGGAGTTTTGTGAACTGGACAGTGAGTCACACCTGTTATTTGAGTCTCAATGATACTACATGATACCCAAACAGTCGGTAGGCGGAGCAGAGTTTAAAATGAAACCTCACTTGTCGGTAGGCGAATACCTAGACCAATGAGCCAGTCTTTTGCACTGACATATTTCTCAGACAATTTGTGATGGAGTAAGACAGGAAGTAATTCAGTCACTTGACTAGCCAGTTGCAAATCCATTCTTACCAACTAAAAGTTGAGGTAAGAGTGGGCATCTAGTATTATAACTAGTTGATAAAATCAACTTTGAACCTCGCACACAGGTGCATAGGCTCAAGTTACCACACTTCACAGTAGTACACAAAGAACACGTGGATAGACAAAGAGTGATATCAAAGAAGACAAAGTATTGTGAGAGAACAAACAATCTGAGGATAAAGGTCAGTGAAGAGTATTCAAGTTTTAGAAGACATCAAGGAATAAATATATCTGCGCCATTGTGACCGACTTTCAGCCATATCACCGACAATTTTCAACCACTGATTCTTGTCGTTTCGGGGACCTCAGCCAGGTAGTCTACATCTCCCAATACGGCCCAGACCAACAGTAAGAGAATTCATCGACTGGAGCCAGGTCTTGGTCTGGGTCACCCTGTTCCAACCCAATTCACCTTCCCGTAGTATGGCACGTCGAGGTAAGCAGTGGCTCAACATGCGCAGCACATATGTCCAAGCCATCTCAGTCAACTAACGTTTACAACCTCATCAATCGACTCCGCTGTCTTGCCTAGTACCCTATACCTGACCTCAACATTGCTCATACGATGACTCCATCTAACCCAAACGCTGCCTTCACACGTTTCACACCCCATACTAATAATGGTTTTCAGAAATAAAAATGAAATGTAACCCAGAAACGTGCTTGTTCGTGTGATGGTTAATAGTATCAACTGTGTTACGGCTAGATAGCTCTAGGTCGCTGAAACTCTAGAGAGAGATGTAGATCAATGGAAAAGGTAACACAGAACACCAAACAATAATGTATCTAATCATTCACATAACTAGTACAGAAGAAAACTGGATCCAGTTGGAAATAATATAATCGTTATCAAACATGGATACGCTGCCTATCAATTCTAAGCTAACAGGAAAATTATAAACATCCAGCCCATAGTTGTTACGAGTGTCCTGAAAGAAATTGAGCACCGAGTCAGATTGATTCATTGTATAGGTATGTTTTAATATAATCCCTATGTGTTTAGAAAATCGAAAACGAGATTTTTCTGAATGTTTCGCTGTGTATGCCACAGCTTCTTCAGTAGAAATTCCTACATGTACCTTTTGACAGTATATACTTTGACGTTGAATAAAAATCCGAATATTCTACTGAAGAAGCTATGTTATACACAGCGAAACGTTCAGCAAAATCTTGTTTTCGATTTCCTAAACACCCTGGGATTATAGTAAAACTTGCCTATATTACGTAGCCTAAAAATTGGCTAAATTGCTTCCCTAGCAAAAACTCTAGCGACCCAGGTCATGCATCTATGCTGTTTGTGAGACAAGTGTACAGGACCCAGGTGGGGTTATTCACTCGACCTCATCCGGTCAATATAGTGAATCTTCGAAACCTGCTTTTCGAATTTCTGCAGATTCTATGGCTAATTTTCATGGCCTTGCAGGTGTAGATATGACAGAAAATGCTACAGTATAAAGTGCACTACTCGTATGGATCCCAGTTGACAGTTGATTATGTGTAGTTCGACTTAACGGCACAGTGAGGACTACAAAGAATAGTGAAACTAGCCTTTATCCTTTTGTAATCTCTGCTAACGCAACCAATGACTGCATTTCAGAAGTGAAGGATGAGTTTATAGAAAATTATCTAGCCTCCTACTTAAAGCCAAACATTCCGATGTGGTTTTTGTTGCAGGTGATTTCAACACACAAGTGGGTGGGCTGTCAGGCATAACAACGCTGAGATGGCACTTTCAGAATCTTAACCGAACGAACAGATAACGTCTAGTGCAACAGTGCTTAAACAACCATCTATTTCTGGTCAGGATGAACTACGAAAGTAACAAGAGACACTGTCTGACGTGGCATCCACCAATCTCAACTCAGCAGTGGACACATGTAAGCCATATTGCTATCAGTTAACGCTGGAGATGGTAGGGGGAAGTGGTCGAACCTTCTGGAGCACGTTTGGACAGTGACTAAATATTATCTCGAGAACCTATAGGTCTAAATGAACGCAGAAAACCATTGAGAGTGCGGCTCAACGATAAGGATACTACGACAACTTTCATCAAGAAACTGGCAAGATAGTTGGTAGTACTGGTACAGAACATCACTCATCCGGAAGAAGCTCAGCACCATTTCCAGTCTGCTGAAAAACAGCATTGAAAACCATAGCCGACTCTTAGAGAGTGATTAAAAAGGACCAGAGGATCTCAGCAACCTTTTGTGAATTTGTCGATGCAAGAGAACATAGTCCTGGGGGCTCTAAGCACGGTGAAAAGCAGAAGCAACTCAAATGCAGACTGACAAAAAGTCTATACGATGACCACGAACAGTGGTGGGCAGCAAAGGCTAGAGAGAGCGGTGACAGACATCAGTAGACAGTTAGTTAGACTTATTAAGGTAACTGGGGCTGAGATCAACAATTATTGAGACTATAGGGAAGAAGGATTGGTTAGTAATTCACTTCCATGGAAGACAACAGGGAGGATGGGTGGAACACTTCGAGGAACAGTTCAACCGGTATCTAGCTACTATGTTGTTACTCGCTATTCAGTCGGATCCTTAATAGAACATCGAAATTGGATCTCCAACACTTGCAGAATGCTGAGGTTGTAAACAATCTGAAACACGAGGAAGAGCAGCAGGGCCAGACGGACTAGTTCCAGAGATATTTAGGGACGGTAGTCGAGGATTACTAGTCAGGTTAATTGAAATGTTAGCTGGATTACGGGAGTCAGATGTGATCCCATCTGACTGGTCTCAACCACTGATTGTTTAGTTTTCAAGAAGGGAGAAAAATCCTCCTGTGATAACCACAAAGGGATAAGCCTGACGAACAGTGTCTAAGAGTCTAGGTTCTATAATTATCAGACTTCTAAGTGGAGCTGGGAAACAGCAGACTTGAGGAAACCAGGCACGTTTCAGACCCAGCAGTATATATATCGAACAGGTATTCACACTCCCCCAGGTTCTGGAATACAGACATACTTAACGACGCCCGACACTAGCTGTATTTCCCTACCTAAAGGCGGCATTCGATTAAGTAGATAGAGAGGTCTTATGACAGTGTCTCACACTAAAAAGAGTGCCGATTAAGTACGCCATTCAGTTAAAGGGTCTGTACTTGAAAACGCGTTAGTGTGTTAGAGAATATGGTGATATCAGGTGAGGTGTCTACGTTGAGTGGCGTTCATCTAGGATGTCCAATCTCGCCATTCCTGATTAATTTTGTCATAGACGCCCTTATGGAGGTCTCCTTCTCGTCATCCGAATTCACAGGGATTGATCTAATTACAGGAGAATCCTCAGTAGATCCAGAATATGCAGACAACATAGTTCTGTAAAGTGAGGGCGCTGACAAGAAGCAGTCTTCTGGACACCTAGAGTGGCACTTGAAGAATGTTTGGAATGTGATTTTTGCCACCCAAATGCAAACTGTTGCTCCATGGCTGGTCTTCAACGGTTCCATGGCTAACAGTAGAGGGTAGAATGGTTGATCCCCCTGACTACTTCGCTTACCTGGAAAGCCAGATCAGCCCTAGAGGGTCAGTGACCGACAAAATTTCGGCACGGATACAAGAGGCCTGATTGACTTTCACCAACTTATGCCACTGATTGCAAAGCCGCGATATCCGATTGTCTACTAAAGCTGCATGAATCAAGCTGGAGTTTGCTCTTTTTCATTATGTGGCTGTGAAACATGATCACCAAAGATAGAGAGCATAAGAAGACTTCAAGTGGTTGACCACCGTTGCCTTCGTAGCATAGGCCGTGTCGTGGTTTCACTACATCGGTAACGTAGAAGTCAGTCATAGCGTTTTAGGGGGAAGAGGAAATTTAGTCCATAAGGTTGTGAACTTAAGTCGACTCAGGTAGCTGGGACATGTGTTATGCATACCTAGTAACTATCTGCCTCGTCGGGTAATGTTAGTTGAAGTCGGTTTAGTCTGAAAAGAGGCCCAAGATGGCGAGACCAAAACATGACATTAGTGCACGAAGTCTGACTGTTGGTATGAGCTGTGTACGGGGATGTAAACCTCACAGCTGGGGTCCACGTAGCAACGGAAACCTGTGGTCAGCGACTCTGAGTGACGTGGCTGAGAGCTGATGTCAGTGGTGCAGATGCGTCCATACATTATCTTTACCTCAATTGTCAGATTGAATTCTAATATTTTCCAACCTATCCTTCCTCTCGTTTTACTACCTTTTGCCAGTCTTGACATTTTTCTTCATCTTTCACCTTAGTGCTTTCTCGTTTGAGATGCTGATATGGTGTGGCAACTTAAACCATTGCGCAGTAATGCAAGGTCCCGCTTTGATGCCGATTGACTATATATCATATGTCCACACATGTGAACGACATTCCAGTACAAATAAAATGGATATTGAGTTCAACTGAAGCACATAGAGGAAGGAAAATGATAGTTCTTGAATGAAAATATTTCTTTAATTAAAAGGAAGGTCAAGCGAATGCATCTGCACTGTAAGCCAATTGAATCAAAGAATTTTGCCCAGACGTTTGTAATTAAGGCCCAAACATGTAGTTGTGAATTTCTCAGGTTAGCTTTGCCTGATAATTTCGTTTTACACCATTTAATAAGATGGCAGCTTGGCACATACTGCGCAAACTAGTGAAGCACTATATATTGATGATGATGATGTTAAGCTTTAGCATGAATGAGAATCATACGGAAATGCCAGATACAGTAGTGCAGTGGTCAAAAAAGCTTCCTTTGTAGACAGGAGAAAAGTGGTTAGATGTTAGACAGATCTACATGCTTTATAACTTAGAACTCCAAATTGAGTGAGAGGCACGTAAAGTGAACTCCATGGTTTGTTTTTATCATACATCTGCTTGGAATAGCACATTAAGCTTATCAAAGCTTGGAAAGTGATATGGATGTTAAACATCAAGCAACATGAAATGCCTTACTGCGGGATGTAGTCATAGTACCCTCAGTAGAATTATTCGAAACACGGTTAGACAGCCACGTTATTTCGCGTGGTTTACCATAGACATACTCAGGGAATTACTAGCCTCACTAGACCACGACTACTTTCTTACTTCTCACCACTCACTATCCCTCGTTGATACCTCTACATTTATCTGCTAACTCTTCTTTGGAAACTAGACACACAACCTTTTATCTTCCGGGTAATTCCCATATACCGTTCCCCACTAACGTGCTACTCCTATTCAGGCACCTACACAGAAAGGAATCACGACGGACCCTAATCTTTCCCGCAACTTGTAGCTTCCTAGTCACTCTACAAATTGCAATTACTAACCCACAAAAACACTCACCTCATAGGAGCTAAAAGCAGGAAAGCAAAAGAGATTTCTTTGTCTACTGCAAGCGCAAACCGAACAACACGAACCAAGCCCCAAGAACTAGACGCGAGAGATAAAAAGCTATCAGTTTTTCTACGCTCGCACTATCAATGTCAGTTGTTGAACATAATCCAAAAATTCAGTAAACTGTACACTTTGTTAGTAGGCTAATCTTGAAAGACATTTGTGAAAAGCCTGAATTAATTAATGCAGTCATTCATGTGGAACGGATATGTACACTAGGCTATGAGCCATATGTAGTACTAACCGGTTGAAGCTGATGGAGTGGGGTTTGAGACTAACGTCAAACCAAAAAGTTAGACTGCGGAGTTTATCAAATGACTTGGAATGCAAATAAACTTAATACTGTTGCAATAGTAACCTGTCTTGGAAATTTCGAGTACCTAAGTCTCCATAAAGACTTTTTATCTGTCTCTCTTAGTATTCATCCTGAGGGTATGCTAGCCAAAGTGTTATTCTTACCAATGAGCACCCCATTAGTCATACCTACACTGTCTTCATCAAAAAGTAGGATGTTCAATTATGCTGGGAAAAAGATATCTGAATTATGAACATCTGAAGTCAAGACTTAGATACGAAGGAAGTGCCTCCATATCGATACACTTAACAATGGCAACTGTGAAATAGAAGTCTCTGTTCCAAGCAGGTAACCAAAAAGGACTGTCAGCAATCGTCATCGATAAAAACGTGCATAGTTTAGTAACTTCACTGAATTGCGGAGATGTAAAAACAGCCAACTTGATGTGATTTTGGAGTAGGTGGTACAAACATACTATAAAACAGAAAATCACAGCTATAGTCCAAGGGATATTTCTGTAAGAGCTGCATCAAATACTGAAAATCGCTTGTATAGGTGGACGAGAAGGGCTTACAAAGAGGTGACAAAACCCTTTGGCTTACATTACAGCAAAGTTTTCATATCGTTAGCTCCTGTTAGTTGGCATAGCAAAATCCTAACCAGAAAGCCAAAAAGAAAATCACTACACACATAATAATGTTGATCCCATTAACTGTGTTTATGCTAGCAAAATAGACAGTACAAAAACGTTTCAAGGAGAAAATTACCGTTACTTAGAACACCAAAAAAATCGTACTAAGACTCTATGCAAATGTACTTACGCATACGCCGTCATGATTAATGACCCTCAACTATATCGAATAGGTAACACGAATTAGACACAACACAACAAGGATAATCCAGTAGCGGTCGCCAATGAACAGGAATTATCAGTTCGAGACACAAACTTGACAACTTTGACTATGTAATGCAAATTTTACGTGAGGTGAACTCCCTCAAAATTCGTCACTTGACCTGGCACAGATAAGCTTGAGTGTGTTTAACTGCATCAAATACCAAGACAGGATGTTTTTCAATGCCATTGTAGTCGGTGTTGACACAGTAAAACAAACGGACTGACTATAAGGCATGCTGAAACTTTCGAAGATTTTACATATCTAAACTAAAATTCAAGTCAAAATTATCTATAAAATCTTCTAGTTTCATAATAATGAACATCTAACATCAGTAGTGTGATATGGGAAACTGCACGTTTCGTGCTCTTCTGTATATGTCCGAAGTGGTTTTTATGGTCCTTGATGGTTTCATTTCACGTCAAATTTTTCATTCCAAACAAAGAGAAAGATCATAAGATATCGTTTTAGTTGCTGCAAAAAACGATTGCATTGTTTTTCTTCCCTGCTTATTTTGGTGGGAGTGACTCACTGGGTATTGTAGATACCGATGGGAATAGAGAGTGACCTGCAAGTTAGTATTCAGAGCCATGAGGTGGCCAGACAGATGGCTTCGAATTCTGATGCTATTCCGTCGTTAACAAAGGACAAATTCCTACCAACTAGGCACTTGAATTACGATGAGACTAAGTGATGTGGATTTGGGCCTTTTGATATCTTTTAGGGACTGTCCTGGTGCGAAGTTGACAGATGCATAGGTCGAACAGTAATTATTCAAACTTGTTATATGCCCACGAATATGAGACCAAGAAAGAATACAATGTAGTCGGATGGAATAGTATATTCGCGAGGTCTCGCCGATGGGCTCAAACTAACTGATTAGAGGGTCGATTACGAGCATTGCAACGTGATACGATAGCGTGCCAAGTGGCGAGGATGCTTGACCATGTGCCTTCAGTCTAGCGAGTTCAGCTAAACTACGAAGGTCAGCATCAATGCTGAATCTCGCTGAACACTAGGCTACTGATCCTGGAGAAGTGTGTGACGCCATGGCGTTATGATTTTTTTGATGGTTTGAATAAGGCCAAGGCTACCTGTTGGGTATAAATACGTCTCACTGCTGTGCTAAATTGTTCATGGAATTGCTCTGGTGAACGCTTCTAGTTTCTGCCCAGTGTAACCCCGTAATGAGCAGGATAAATGGAGTCCCATGGTTTCTTCCTCAAAGTTTCGGAAGTATAACCTGAGGTTCGTTTGCAAGTGTGTAAACTGCACGCACGTATATACCTGAAGAAAAGCCTTTTTACTTCCCTAAACTTGAAGAAAATCACTGCCGTCCTTGGATGGGTTCGGACGGTGAAGGCTGAAGAGTCGATTGCGAATTGCGTTATATACTAATGAGTCTTGGCGACTAATTGTGGGGGCCCCAGTGCTCTAACAATGTTAAACTATTCAAATATTTTGTCAAACTGCGCTTTATCATGTTTGGTGCGGAAAGCGACTACAAGCATGACCGTGAAAAGCCAGCTTTTTCAGCCTATTTTCGCTCCTATCTGCAGAGAACGTGAGAATACTTATTGTGTATGACATCAGTGGTCTACTGGCAGCTATATACTTTTTAAAGGAATAGTATTCGCCTCTGTTTATCATTGGAACAACACTTCGATCACCCATGTATTATTTGATGGCAACTTGGGCTCCACAATCAGTTCATGCAAAACGCTTCCCACTAACACACAAACACACGCTGAGTGCCCACCAACGGATAATGGCGGAAAGAGTTAGGAAGCGGCCGGATTGCACCAGCTAGAATTTAGCTAAACAACACTGTGAAGAGCTTGACAGTTGACTGAAATCGGGGTGTGACAAAAAGCTAGGCAAATCTTAACTCGTGTCTTTGTTTTCGCAAGTTGTTATCAGCCCAAAGGTGGATGCGAAAGTTTTTCAGTGTGCTGGGATCGACATGCTATAAAAGGACTCACACTAGTGATTGGCTATGTCATGGGACCGTCTGTGGCATCTTCAGAACATAGGATGTGGTGTAGACTACCGTTAAACTGCATTTTGAAGACATTTAAGCATACTTTAACTTTGGTAATCACATACCAACCAGTAACCCTCAGGATACTGTGGATTGTTTTATAAGCATTGTTCCGTTCTTCGCAAGTACATCTCCACACTTCAAGACACGCTAGAGTTCATTAATTAGCAGTACAAATGAAGGGTGTCGACAAATTATCCGCTCATCAAAAACAAATCGCCAGTACAAAGGTACTTTTTTGCTGCTGTTCGAATTTATTAACACCTACCCTAACTGTTTGAAGATGTGTTTGATTAGCCTAGAATATAGCACACCGAGGCGGTATTGCCTTGCGCCGCTTGCAAATTCCTTTTTTTTTCATTATCTTGATGTATAGGTGAAAGGCGGAATAACTAAACAGCTGGTTGACAAACTATGGGACGAACAGCTTATGAGAACCCACGGTAGCAAGCGGTTCAGAGCACTCAGGCGGAACAGTTTATACTTCACACCGGTCTGCATAAAATGAAGTGCTGTGATCGGATCCTTGGCCTATAAAAACGATAACTCCTTTCCGTTTCATGCCTATCAGGACATTTAGTCCGAAGCCATGCTGATTTCGTTTTTCTTGGTCAACCAGAAAAATCAACAGTCGTTTGAGATGTAAATACACTGTCAGTAGAGCTGTGGTAGTCCATTGGATCACGGCGAATATGGAGCCTCAGGATACTACTAAAGAACGGCCTCCATCCAGAACGCCACCAGGTGAAAGCTCTTGAGTTTGGATCTGGCTCATGTCCACAATTCCTTCAGAATTTCTCACGTCACCAACAACATAAGTATGTAAGCGTTCCCCAAATGTTTTCGATCACGCAGCTCCAGCGTCCGAAGCAAGTAAGCGCATACGAAAATATTCTGGATGGACGGAAGAAAAGTTGGTGCTAGCAAACAAGTGGAAACCTTCAACATCTGAACAGCATCGTAAGACAGCTGGCGAAACCTCTTGTTTGGTGGTGCACTTTGTATGCATACCGTTCGTCAGTGTCATTGGTATCAATGATGGCTTTTTTTCACAACCATTTTCTACTTACTTTTCTAGCGGTTTTGGTTAATTTGTGCAACATCTTACACAATGGTCTTTGCTGTTCTTTCTTTTCTGGAACTGTGCAGAGTAATCACTCTCAGGCGCATGTTTCAGGACAAGGAGAGTTGCGGTGCTGCATCTGGGAATAGTGTGAACGCGTGATATCAGATATCGATTCTGTAATACTTGCTAATGCCCGAACATTCTGTAAGCTCCAAGAATCAAGTGGCTTGAGTGAAGAGAAGTAAGAACCAACGTCATTACAACCTACTGGAAGCCTAGACTGCCAAAATCTGGGAAATTTTCATGGTCCTGCACTTTGAGATGCGGCTTGCTTCAACACTGTTCTGTGATGGGGGGGGGTGGGAGAATTCACGCCACTCCCCAGACCAGCCCGAATGCAAAAGTAAACTATGGGCTCCAAAATAGTCGTCTGCAGGCACTGAGGATTCAGCCGTGTCTACTACTTTTCTCTTCACCCTTCTATTTTGGTATCAGACGGTTTCTTAGGGTTCATACTTTTTGGGTAACGAAGCATCGAAGGCCACCCGATGAAAAACACACCTAAAACAATTCAGTTCTACAGAGAGCTCGATTCAGATGCCTTGTTAACAGTTTCCATTTATCCGGCTACGTGGCTCACAAGAAAAGGGGACGAAAGGAAACAGAGAAAATAGGTGGGGGAGCAGACATGGAGGGGGCAAAGTTTTCAGGAACGTTTGATTCGATATCATGCTCACCACTCGTTGAAAGTGGATTCGCTGACCACCATTTGCTGGCCAATGAGTAGCGACAGGCGGATTAACCTCAGGAGTTATCTTACCTCTTACAATAATCTGTATTTGCCGTGTTTTCCCCAATATCATCACGGTTTCATGCCAGGAAAAGCGGGCTTCATTTAGGGACAATCCCACAATGGATACCTTCTAAACGTACCGAAAGGGAAGCAAGAGAGGTTGGATCAAAAGACGTGTCAAACTTTCATATCAACGAGTCACAGATTCTCGTCTATCCGCAAACGAATATTTACGGAAATGAACCCAAAGGATTCCATTTTCGATCGGTCACGTGAAAAATCAGATAAGTACAATGATAAACAGGTGACAAAAATACCTCAGTTTTTGACAAGAATTTCGGCATCTGCACGGTTCATTAGTAAACATTAAACTATTTCCAGTCTGTCATGTATAGCCCTGAACTTCAACCCGCACATTACCATTCTGCAGATTCTCGCAAAGAAGTGGTCAGGTAGACAGAATTTATTAGGAAAAGCTTGTTTTTGATCCATGTTTTGCCCGTTATGGTTCGTTTCAAGCTGAGAGGAGAGCATACGTGAGAAATGTCATCCTAACATCAACTCCTACTGACCACACAGAAGTCGCAGATTATCCTTTTAGGAACGATGCATTGTAGAAAAACTTCTCATAGTCATTATCAAGTTTCCCCTTGACCTTCTATATTCCGGAGGCGCAAGCAGTCGTTCTTTATATATGTGGTGGCACACGATTACCAAAAATCAATGGCTTAGAATTCGACAAGATTCGGCATTAATGGCAACCTTCTTAGTTTTATCAGACTTGCTAGGCTGAAGGCACACTTCTAAGCGCTCACACCATTTGGCAAGTCGCCGTGTTGCGTTGTGCTGCTAGCAATCTATCCTCTAGCCAGCCAGTAGGAACGTTTCGGCAACTTGGGACATGTTTTGACTCGTCTGAATTCTCCTCGAAAATAACTACATATAAGCTCTCCCAATGGGATATTTTCTCTAAGAAAGCAACAGTTCTACTGGAAAAAACAGTTTGCTACGGAACGTGCAGTCCTCAATCGATCACTGCCATCACTCTCCAAACGGACAGCTGAGTGGTGTGTCTAACTGTCTCAGTCAACTGCAATAGCTTAGGTTGCTGCAGCTGCAACTGCAGCGCTACTTATCTCACTCTTTCACACACCTTGGACCTGTGGGAAGCCTTTGGCATCCTTCCGCGTCGCACAACTGAGCAGTGCTAGGTAAGGTTGACAGCTTACTTTACCTATCATTGCTTTTCTACGTTTCACTTGATACAACCACCTGTGTCTGACTCAT